AGAGGACAGAGTGGAACTGCCCACATGGTGTACAAGGCTGTCAGTCTTCACGGAAGTGACTGCTTCATCTTTCTTTAGCAGAACAGTTGGTGGTTCAAACTGCCGACCTTTTGGTTAGCAGCTGAGTGGTTGACCACTGCCCCCCAGAGCTCCTTACAGAGATCCTCTGGTGAAATACTTCTATAGACCCATTGTTGGGACCGTTTGCTGCTGCCAGGGACCCCATTCACAGTGGGGCCATATGATCAGACCTGGTGACCAAAGAGGGCTCACTGGCTGAGTTTTGAAAGTAGGTGGTCAGGCCTTTCTAGCCTTAGTCTGGAGGCTTTGCTGAAACCTGGCCCACATCACAGCCACACACAAGCCTCCCCAGATGCACAGGTGGTGGTTGTGTGTGAGGTGCATTGTCTGGGAGTTGACCCTGGGTCTCTGGCAGGGAAGGTGGGGGATCTACCACTGAGCCATAGTGTCCCCAGAGAACTGCACAGGGAAATGACATCCTAGTCGTTAGACTGTTGCACGCAAGAGAATGTGCTAGGGGTCAAGGGTTAGAGCATCCTCTCCTCATCTCTGGGTCACGCTGCGGGGTTACCCTCCTCCCCACCCCCACATGGACTCTCTCTGTGTAGGGGCGTCTTCCTGACTGGGTACGGAACACCTCTGACTTTCAGGTTTGCCTTCAGTTAGCAGTTGTGCAGCTGTGACTTGACACTGGTGTGAGCTTTCCGTGTCCTTGCCGATCCTGCCATGCCTTCACTTGGCCGCACTCCTACCAGCGGTGTGGCCTGACACAGTGCTCACACTTAGAGGACTTTGTCCTGCAGGAGCTGGAAAATGTTGCTCTTTTTCCTCTTAAAAATTTTTATTTTTGGAGATTAAAAAATACTCCCTCTATGGTCTCTTAGCAAGGAGCTGTGGTGGCACAGTTAAAGCATTTCACTCTCAACAAAAAGTTTAGTAGTTTGAATCTCACCAGTCACGTGGCAGAGAAAGATGAGGCCGTTGGTGTCTGTAAAGATTGTTGTTGTTATGGGCCGTCGAGTTGGACCCGACTCATAGCGACCCCTCCTTGGGTTTCTGAGGCAGTATCACTACGGAAGTAGATTGTCCCATCTTCCTTCCGAGGAGTGACTGGTGGGTTTGAACCGCCAGCCTTCTGGTTAGCAGTCAAGTGCCTTAGCCACTATGCTACCAGAGCTCCCCTGTAAAGATTGTTGTTGTTGTTGTTTGCTGTCGAGTCGGCCCCGACTCATAGCGACCCCTCCTTGGGTTTCCGAGGCAGTATCACTAAGGAAGTAGGATTGCTCAACCTTCCTTCCGAGGAGTGGCTGGTGGGTTTGAACCGCCAGCCTTCTGGCGAGCAGTCAAGTGCCTTGGAAACCTGTGGGGCAGTTCCACTCTGTCCTCTAGGGGCGCTGTGAGCTGGAATCCACTGGACAGCTGCAGAGTTTGGGGTTTTTGGTCTCTTGTTGTTATGTGCCCTGCCCCTCCTTGGGTTTCCGAGGGGGTAAATCTTTACAGAAGTAGATTGCCCAGCCTTCCTTTCAAGGAGTGGCAGGTGGGTTTGAACTGCCAGCCTTCTGGTTAGCAGTCAAGTGCCTTAGGCACTCCGCCACCAGAGCTCCCTTTGGTCTCTTAGCATGCAGTATTGGTGGTGAGGAGCCCAGTGTGCGGTTTCCTCCTATTTGTGTTCCCATGTGGACGTTGTTGGTGTGTGTGTGTGTGGGAACACTTTCTGGAGATTTCCCTCACTTTGAAGGTGCGGGGTCTCTCTGGCAGGCCGGTGCCAGGGTGCGCCTTTCCCCCTTGTCCTGGGCAGCTGGAGGTGGCTTGGTGCAGGCACTGCCCTGAGTTCGGGAGCATTTCCTTCTTGGTTCCTGCCGCCTTTCCTGGTGTTCCTGTGGCCACCAGCCCTCCCCCACCTGCCTCCACCACTCTCACCTTTTCTCCCCTCCTCCCCTTCTCCCTTTAGCTCTGCGCTGGGCGGGGCCCTTACCTTTATGTCTGACGCTGGGGCCCTGGGTGCCTTTCGCTTGCCTTGTTGCGTCCGTTTTCAGACTTCTTTTTGAAGGCAGCTAGCCGGACTAGTTGGCCTTCTTTTCAAAGTTCTCTTGGCTCCCTGAATCTGTCATCCAGGGTGGACTGTGGGGTTGGTCACCCTGGGCCTTCCCTGCCGCCCAGCACTGAGTGGTCAGTGGTGTCTCTTAGTGTTGGGATCAGGTTTTGCTGGGCGGTGGTGGTGGTGGTGTGGCACCCAGGCTTTGGTGAGTGGGTTGAGGGTGTCCTCAGAAGGTCTTCCCCGAGGGGGTGGGGGCTCCCCTGGAGGGGGCCAGGCCTACCATAAAGCCCTGATGCCACTCACTACGTCACGGAGGTGGCTAATGTCTGCTACTGGGCCCAGCGCCGTGGGGGCTCCGGAGGCCTCTCTGCCCTGAGGCCGCCGAGCTCAGCTCTGTGTCTGGGCTTGGAGACACAGCTCCGCCCGCCCGCCCGCCCGCAGGTGGAGCGCGTGTCGCACCCGCTGCTGCAGCAGCAGTACGAGCTGCAGCGTGAGCGGCTGGAGCGGCGCTGTGAGCGGCAGCCCGCCGAGCAGGTCCTGTACCACGGCACGTCCGCGCCCGCGGTGCCTGACATCTGCGCGCACGGCTTCAACCGCAGCTTCTGTGGCCGCAACGGTGAGGCGCGGGCCGGGCGGGTGGGGGCTCGGCGGCCTCGGCGCCCCTGACCGCGCCCTCCCCGCCCCGCAGGCACGCTCTACGGGCAGGGAGTGTACTTCGCCAAGCGCGCCTCCCTGTCGGTGCAGGACCGCTACTCGCCGCCCGACGCCAACGGCCACAAGGCGGTGTTCGTGGCGCGGGTGCTGACCGGCGACTACGGGCAGGGCCGCCGAGGGCTGCGGGCGCCGCCGCCGAGGGCCTGTGGCCACCACCTCCTGCGTTACGACAGCGCCGTGGACAGCCTAACCCAGCCCCGCATCTTTGTCATCTTTCACGACACGCAGGCGCTACCCACCCACCTCATCACCTGCGAGCACATGTCCCGGGTTCCCTCCGAGAACCCCTCGGGGCTCTCGGGCCATTCCCCGACCTCCTGACCCACAAGATGCCCCGCAGACCCGGCCTCTGGCTTCCCGCGCCCGCAAGCTCCCTCTCCGCGGAGCCTTACCGCCCCTCCGCCGCTCCGCTGTCCCCGGAGCGCCCCAGCCTCCTGCTGGAGGGCGAGGACAGGCGGCGGCGGCGGCGGGTCCAGGGCCGGGGCCCTCGTGGGCCTGAGCAGGCCCAGCCACCAGGGGTCAGCAGAGCCCAGGAGAAGGTGGCCGGCCGCCCAGCCCGCCTCTGCCCAACCTCCCCGCGCGGGTCTGTCTGAATAAACGTGCACGTGAAGCCTGGCGGACGAGCCTGCTGGA